TCGAAATGCTGGCCAACTGTATCAAGAACTACTCTGACTCCGCCAACATGATCAAGAAGAAGGTTGTGCCCTCGATAATTTAAGCCATAATCCCAACCCCTTACATCCTAGGTCCTACACCCATAATCTACCAGAGCCTAGAGCCTAATGCGCAGTAGCTCCCTTATGCCTTTTCTGCAACCTAGGCAGAGCCGAAGCCCAAGGAGGCCGCAAAACCCAAAGCCAAGGCAAAGGGTAAGGCTAAGTCCAAGAAGTGATTCTGGAGCCGAGTGCATTAGCACCTACAGTACTGGTCAAATGTGTGGGATGGCAACCTGTGCAGCCAGCATGGTGCTGTACACTGCATGTGCACACAATGACCCAAATATAATGTAAACTTGCCGTATACTGGGATCTTAATGGGGTCAATGTGACTGCAAATTCCATTGGGTCCATGTGTGGCCATGCAGGGAGTGAGCTCGAATCATGGGGGGGCTTCACTCGGTGCACCAGTGGTGGGTATGTGCATGTGTGGCCCTAGGCCTGCACATATTTTGTGACCGGCATGCGGGCAGAACCTGCGTGCGATTTAAAACCTGACCAGTGCAATGCAGCTGGTCCATGTCACACTGATATGTCGATGCAGCGTGTGGCGAGGACACACAAAAGCATGCTGTGACTGGGCTGTGCTGCAAAGTCAATTGCAATTTCCGATCTATAGCTAGATAGTTGTGCCCGCGCAGGTGTCGATAAGAAAAGCTTGGGGCCTCTTTGTCGACATGTCATGAAATGTGCCGGGAAAGGTGCCTCCAGACTGGAATTTTAATCATTCTTAAAGCTTGCAGTGTGACCCTGGAATTCAAACCCTGTAGCTAGCCTTCGATTTGTTTTACATATGTCATCCAAGCCACTCCATCCCAGGACCTCAGCTTCGTTGGAGCTGTGAGAATGCTGCAGGAAAGTCACAAGGACCAGGGCCTAAACCTGAACTAGATTTCGGGTTTGGGGTCCCTAAGCCTTAAACCCCAAACCCCTCACGAAGCCCTAAACCCTACACCCTGAACCCTAAACACCATGCCCTAAAATACAATTAATATATGTTATGCAGGAGGTCGCTGCCAAGGGTGCATCCCTGTGCCCCATGGGAGAAAGGCTTCGACGTGCTGGGGCTTGTGGCAAATGGACATCCAACACGGAACGTGATGTGTTGCGCACAATGACATCGGCATTGGGTTGTGTCCCATGGCTGTTCGGTCATGCATGATTAATCATGTACATGTACACATGTACATCGTGGTTAACTTGTCCAGTCAATGTGTGACACAATGCAAGGTTCCAATCAGCTATGTGCAGGTGCCCATGCGCACATCGGTAACGGATGACACAGTGATCCAACGGCCGCTTGAACAACCCAAAGGGTCCTAGCTATATAGGTACCTATACTTAGGGTTTAGGGAACTTAACCCAAAGGGTCCTAGCTTATAGGTACCTATACTTAGGGTTTAGGTGCTAGGATTTGGGGTGCTGTTGCAATATATAGGCGCCTACCTGTTGTCCTCCCACATCATTTGCTTCAGTATCTTCATGAAAGGGGGATGTCGACAGATGCATTGGACAGGGAGGCCAACCGTCAGTATTGGACCCACATGGCCAAACACACTGAGTGGGCTGCATCCCACCCATGCAGCCAATACCCAGAAACTTCCATCCCGACGTTCCTCTACGGCGACGATGTGAAGTACAACCGGCAGGAGAAGTTGACCTGCATCTACCTAGGCTTCATCTTAGCCGACAAGAAGGGCCTAGCAATGCGGACCCACTTCCCGATATTCATCGTCAGGGAGGCTTGTGCTTTGCTTAAGACCGAAAATAGAAATCCCACTAATGTAATTTCTAACAGCAATGAGCCCCAAAACCCTGTAAAGGTCTTCAGCCTGGGCTTCAAAACCCTCCAAGCATTCATGAAGCCGGCACTCTGGCATGGGACTGTGTTTAGTATATGTTGCCTAGTTACATCGTACCCCTTAATGCTACAGCTAGCCCTGACCTCACGACCAATGCAAGGTAGTCACATCGCTCAATGCTGCCATCTTCGGCTTCACGCCAGCGCGGCCCATCCTGAATGCCGATGGTACATGCGAAGGGGAAGGTGTGCCGGAAATGCTCATGAACAAACCACTTGTTGTCGACAATGGGGAGGTGGTCCGGTTTCCGCTTTGTGAATTGCGTGGAGACTGGAAGTTCTACAAGGCATTTCAAATTAAAATTGGAATATGAACATATAGTACTACAAATATAATAATACACCGTATCCTAAGGCCTAAAATCTAACCCCGAACGATAACCCTAAACCAGGAATGGCTGGGGATGAGTTGTGGGTGGGGTGCCCGCCATATCTGCCACCACTGCTACGCGCAGAAGGGGAATTATGTGAATGTGCCATCGCAGCTCCAGCATCAACCTCGACGTGACATGCGCAGCTTTGTGACTGAGTGTGCAAATCAGCCTGCGGGTGTGCATCCAAGATGCTCGGCTATCAGATTTGGGTTTAGAGGTTTGTGGATAGTCTAGCATATAGGTGCAGCCTTCTAGGTTGGATCTTGAGCATATCTGCCTTTCACGTGACAATGGTGAGATGGTGCTCCCTACACCAGCTGAACCTGGGGCCACTGGTGTGGGCATGTGGAGCATGCCTAGAGCTGCTGTGCAAACAGGATGTGACTTCTTTTACTCTCTTCCTTTATTGAACTTATAATAAGGGGTGCCCTAAACCCTTCTAATAAAGCCCCGCCCTCGAAACCCTAAATCCTAGAGCAAACCTATGGACCTGTGGAGGACGTTTGGCCTGGGGTGTCGAAAGCCGATCAGCTCAAATCTGCCTATGCTGCATTTCGGGCTTGGTGCCGGGAACGCAAGATTGTGCACCCCTGGCTTGTTATTATATATTATATAGGGTTTAGGGTTTACGGTTTAGGGTTTAGGGTTTAGGGAATAATTTATGGTTCGGGATTTGAGGGTTTGGGGGCTAACGGTTTCGGGCCTAAGTTTACGGCCCTTGACAGGGTTAGGTTTGGTGCTATCAGAGGTATTACTATTGTGGAACTAGCCCCCCCGGACATCATCAGGGTGCAGAGCATGAGGTTGCTCTCTTAGGACGATCATTTCTTTGCATTTCGTGCACTATTGATGTGGGCCAACAGACCCTTATGTGACCCCATGAGAC